TTTCTACAATCACCTGTACAACAGTATTAAAATATATTCTGGATTTGTATTTATTTATTTTTTTGTTTTTTCCAAAAACCAAGAAAGCACTTTTATATATATATATATATTTATATTTATATATTTATATTTATGCCATTAAAATAGCTTCCTGTACAAAAACCTATAATTGTTATTACGGATAGTGCAGGTATCATGCATCTAAATCCGCCATCATTTTACGAAAATCGGCAAGTAAATTGTAATCTGGATCTTCGTCGATGTCCACCATGTCCTGAGATGAGTCCAATTTACGGAATGTTGGATTATATCGAGATAAACAAAGAGGACATGGCAATAACTCTGGCATGACGGAATGGTGAGTAATGAGTGCAGTCAATGTGCTGAATTCTTTGGTGAAACCCTAAAAAAAATAATAATAAAATATATATATTAATGAAGTATTTTTAATGTAAATCATTAATAAAACATTTGAAAAGTTCGAATTTGAATTTAGAAAAGTAAATTTTAAATTATATCGATGCTAATTAGACTGTGTTTTCAGGTATTTATGATTAAGGTAGAAGGGGGTAAGCAGGTCTTGGATCGAGCCTAGAACATGGACGGGCTCCTAAAATTTAATATTTTATATAGGAAAACATGATATATATTTTTAATCATTTGTATACTTTCATATTTGGTATTTTTTAGCTTTAGGAGAGGTTGGGGACTCCACATTTTTACAGACTTAAACACACTTACAAAGGGTCTAAAGAAATTTAATTTTATATTGAAAAAATAATTTTAAATAAATATAAAATTAATAAAATTAATGATTTAAGATGTTATTTTTAATTGTCTCCAAACAGGACTTAAATCATTAAATGTATCTTGAAATTTTAAAAGATTCAGTTTCTTAAATTATATAAATTGATAATTCTTCTTCTTATGTTAAGAATTATTTATGTGGAAGAGTTGTAAGAAAAGAAGGAAAACACTAAAAAATTTATCGTCCCTAATAATTAGTGGTGTAGCTGACAACTTATCTACTTCCCGGTGACAAAGATAAATTTTAGTGCAAACACAAACCTTGATCTTGTAACCTCGATTTGTTCTCATGATAAGATAATGGGCAATTCCGGATGGGTGGAAATCTCTAGGCACTCGCAGAGACAAAGCATAGCATCCTGGTTTACTCGTGCTTTCTCTCACCATAAAAGATCCTACAGGCTCTTGAGCCAACACTTCCAACGCTATTTCCCTGCAAAAATGAACACGTTCAACAATCACCTACTTAAAGAAATTTGTAATTAAAAATCACTTCAAAGTTTTTAGAAAAGGAGGAAAGGGAGGGGGGAAAATATATGTACAGTACATTTTTCTAACGAATATCTTACTCGAGTAAGTTTGAAATATTTGATTTTACTTATGATTTATGTGAGCTTTCTGGATCATCGATTTATATAAAATTAATTTCATTTTGAATAAAATAGCCCTTTTAAAATTATGCAAATGTGTCGACTAACCTCGGTATTCCTGCTTGGAACCAAGGTGCACCCTTAAGTTCTTTCTCTTCAGACATCTGAGCGTGAAGAGAATCGTATCTGTACAAAAGTAACGAAGAATAGGGTCAAATATATATAAAATAATAATAATAATAAATTGAAGTTATTGTAATATACCTTTCCGGTGGAGGTGGGGGTGGTGTGCTGCTGTTACTACTGCTATGACTTATTCGTTTTCCTCTACATCCTACTGATTCTGATTTATCGTCCCCCGATACCACAGAATCGGAAAGAGAGGGTGCACTGTGGTCACAAGAAGACTGAGATGACCTCTTACTGCTGAAATCACTAGAGAGTTCCAATAGACTTTCTTCATCAGTGGCTGGTGCCGTCGGTAACTGGCTCGTTCTACACAGTTGGAAGCTCTGTATAAAAATAATTTAATCCTGTATAAATTTATTTAAAAAAACAAGTCTTAATACAGCCATTTATAATGTACAATGCCTGTTATTTCGGCATTTATATATTATATAAATCTGTGTTTAAATTTTAAATGAAATTCTTTAGATTTCGCCTACTTCATAGCTTTGAAAGTAATTTTTATAGATAAATAAATGAGAAAAAGGACCATAAAATAGATTCCTGTATACGATTCTGTTGTTAAATTACATTTAAAAGTTTAAAATTGTCACTAAAAACTCACATTTTTCTTAGGAGAGAGTGGATTAATCTCTTGACTGTTTTTTCCTTCCCAATTTGAAGCTTCGTTAACGTAACCCCCCGACAGAGGACGATTATGACTCATTACTTTTCCATCAGATTTTTCTCCAACGTCTACTGTTTTCAGCAGGGGTGGTTTTTCTTTCATCTGCTTCCACGTGTTCAGTTCTGTAGGAGAATTGTTATCTTCGCTGCTACTTGGAGACCACAGATCACCGCTTGTTGCGTCACCGTTCGTTACGGAAGTTGTAACTTGTAGAGCCAAAGAAAAGTTACTGTTCCTACCGAGGAATGTTGGAGATGATGATCCTGAAGAAGAGGGATGTGCAGAGTCGTGGAATGTTCCATTATTAGTAGTCACAATGTCCATGTCGGGGTTAGATGATGTGTTGAGTTCTAAAACGCTGCTGATTAATGGGTCATTATGGCGTGTTTTCCCTACTATCTTCTTTGCCTGAAATTGTAAAAATTGTTTCATTTCTACTGAATTGTTATAAGATTACGTAGAACACAGAACAAAGTAGAAACAACAAAACTAAATTACGTAGAACAAAGTATAAACAGCATTCAACACTGACTTCTGTATATCCTCATCTTTTTTTTATTATCTGACAAATATAGGATTATGCTATATGAAAAGTTTTTCATTATTAAAAACTTTATTTCAAGAGCGTCATAAAGAAAATAAGTAATGAAAGATTGCATAGATTCTCAGCGATCCCACTCCAACCCGAGACTTAAGGTTGATTAGTGTGAACATCAAACGTGAAGTAGAAATTAACCATAAAAATTCTGATTTACAGCCTTTACTCTTCTACAATTGGAAAAGGGAGCATAAAATGCATCCAACAACAAAATATTCGCGTTTTCAGCAATAAAATTGGCGACACACTACCTAAAAATCCACTTGATAGAATTAAAGCTCTCTCTCTCCTTCTCTCGGCTGCTCCTCTACAATTCAAAGACAAAAGGATGAAGAAGTTTTTTGCCAGTACAGACCCACTCAACAGATATTATTGGGATTGGTTGCTATGGTGACGAGAGTTGAACCAAACTAATGTGGATGGAACAAGACGTGGAGATTAGGGTGATGTCGGTATTGCTGTCTACACTCTAGGGATCCCCACAGGTGGATTCAGATCCACGAAGATTAAGCAACAATCTGTCAGGGATCGAATGACTTTTGCATTTATCACGTTACCGACCTGAAAGATTATAAGCGAACCAACGTATGTTATTAACACATATTATGATCATTGATCCTCTTTACTTCAGAAACTTTCTAAGCTTCTTCCATTCACCTAACTTAAACTTATAGAATCTAATAATTGTAAGCATCTTCTATAATATTTTCTAGTTTAATGTAGTCCTATAATAGGAATAAAAATTCTATTTATTTCCTTATTCTGCAATGTTGAATATAAGCAAAATTAAACCTCCGTTTTCCTATATTCAACGTAGTTTAATAACTTATAAAAGAAACCTGATAACTAAATATTGTTTATTTTAAAAACTTTATAAGGTTATAAAAGATTTTTTGGGCTTTAAATTGTTATTTCTTTCTAATCTCATTGCTTATACTATAACGTTCTTCCTCCCAGAAGAATTTTTCTCTCTCTCTCTCTCTCTCTCTTTTTTTTTAACTTAAGATGCTGGCTAAGATTAAAAGAATGAAACAAGAAAACCAGTCGGTATGAAATTCGATATCTTAGGTAGTGAAGTAGTTTGTCAGGTGAGCTTCTTCTGACGTGTGCTTCATTCTAAAGAAGCGTCAGTAAACTTTGTAACCTTATATCTAAAATTTCTTCCATACATTCCCTTTTGTTACATAAAAAGGATTTTCAAAATAGCATTGACTTCGCGACACGATACTATTCCCTAGACTTATTTGCATAAATCTATTAATTTATATAGGGTAGGGTAGTGAACAGTTTCTACCCCGTATAAAAAAAAGTAAATGAATTTTTTAAAATAAAATATATTATACTTTTTGAAATTTAATTGATATGAAATTTACAGTAAGTTTTATTTATATATAAAATAGGGATTTGAAAGAAAAATCAGCAATTTCGTGTTCTGATCTTGCTGTTATGTCAGATCTAAGTAGATACAGATGAAGGATTTTTTTCCTTTCAAAACAGATCAAAGAGGAATCGATCCTGAAAATCCGATTTCGATCATAAATATGTTGATCAAAATGTTTTTTTTCTTTTACCCCCATAATATAGAAAGAGGAATATATATGTATATTTATAAAAGTATATTGAATCTACGTATTTCACGTGCATTTTATTTCTTTACATTTCATTTTAATTCATTGTTCGTTCTCTCTTGCATATTTCATTTTCGTTATTTACTTTTATTATTCATACATTCCTTTATTAATAAACAATTTTTACAATTCACTTTCACTTATTTCATTCACTTTTTTTTTTACTACATTTCATTCGTAATGAAATTGGTATAATTTTTTTACAAACGTAATTTTAATGAATTAAACGTGAAAATTACAACGTTTTCTTAAACTTTCAGAAAACGATTTTAAAATAAAACAATAATTTCAAATTAAAATTATTTCTTTATACAAATACTTTTATATTAAAGGAGAAAAATCTCTATTTTATTAAATAATCTCCAATAGAGGATTAGAAATTTAAAATAGAAGGATAAAAAAAAAATGGTATTTTAGAAACGTTTTATACTCTTTCGATTGAAACTGGTGGACTTGAAACCCGCAACTTTACTTAGTTAAATGAAATGCATTGGAACAAAAGCCAACCAACATTGTCTTTTTTTTTATATTGATTTTTATTTTATTTTATTTTATTGCTAGTGTGTCATTGGATTTTTTTCCCTCTCTCTCTCTCTCTCGCTCTTCCTCTTCTTACTCGTTTCTAAATATCATTGACGTTGATCATTTTTATAAACATTTCTGTTGAGAAATATAAAGATCGACTGTGAGACTTTCCGCACTATTGAATTTATAATATATTCATGTTATTCGCTTAAATTGAAAATTAAATTGTGTGTTTCGGATGACGAAATTGTAATATATTTCTTTTCTATTATTATCCAGTCGGATAAAACTCCCATTTTATAAAAGAGAAGAGAAAAAAAAAATCTGTCATTTTGCAATTTTTCTAAGGAGGAAAAAATTGCAGGAAGAAATTTAAAAGATTTATATATAAAAAATATGGAGATTATATATATATTTTTTATTATATTGTAACTTATTTAATAATTTTGCTACTTTTAAATTTGATGAAAACAAAATAGCCTATGATTTAAGTTTTATTAAGAAAGTTTTTAAATTTAAATATTCAATAGAATTTATCATAGATTTTTTAAATCAATTTACTTGTTCTGAAGCGAATTTAAGGCATTAATTAGAAAATTTCAATGGTATCGATTTAATTATAATTTTTTATCTTTCACTTAAAGTAAGAAAAAAAAAGTTTTAATCGCAATTATTTTTTTATATTTTCACTTTCTATTGTAAATTCCTCTAGTTTTTATTTATAGCTTTTATTTTTTCTTTAAATTCCTTTTCCCTCTCGTTATACTTGTACAATTCTATTTTTTTTCTTTTTTTTTTAAATTTCCTTTCCATTTCATTGTCTTCACTTTCCTTTTGTATGTTTCATTCAGACATTTTTTTCCTTCTTCTCCAAAATATAATGTAAATTTCACTTTTTAAAACACTTCACTTTCTTTTTAACATTTCAATTTCATTTATTTACACATTTCTTTCATTCGAAATTGAAATGTTTAAATGAATGAAAGTAACGTAAAAAAAAAAAGTGAAATCGACACAAATTTAAAACAAAGATCACGTGTAAAATATCTTAAAATTTTATTTATTAAATTATTAGAAAGGAAGTAGACTTTAAAGGTTTTTATTTATTTATTTAAATAAATTTTTATTCTTATTTGCATGTTTACCACCTGCTAAACCACTTACATATTTTATAGCTGCTTGTAAACAAAATACAGGTTTGTGTTGTATTAATAATAATCTATATATAAAAAAAACCAAATGCGAATAATTTTCTTGAGTTCATGGAACTTCGAACGAAGTAACTTGTAAGTAAACCAGAAGCTATAAATATATATATATTTTTTCTCTTCCCCTGTTCTGAAGCAAATCATTTTCCTTCCAGGTAGCATCTGATTTGCAGTCTGATCACTGTGTAAACTAAAGATATTACACTGTCTGACCACCACACCCTTTCTCTCGCAACCCACCGAGCGAAAGTAATTTATTTTAAACATTTTCATACATGGACCACTCCGCGAAACTCATTTCCCAATCGGCAGTAAAGTAAATAAACATACTAACTTGTACTTTTACAAATATAAAAAAAAAAACCAGCCTGGAAACACTAAGTAAACATCCTGGTCAATTTTTAAATTTGTTCCAGATTGTAAAGTTTAGTCTAGAAAACTACGACCAAATGCTATTTCGATGATTGTCATCCTTTTCCATAATAGGAAACTATTAGCAACGGTTAATTAAAACTCTTCAGCATACCAAACATTCAACTATTTCGAAGGATAAGACCTCTTTAATTAAATATTTTCCCTTCACAAAATCAAAGAATTTGTTAACAATTATTATATAGTTCCAAATGACCGAATACTTATTGCCATTTTGTTTTACATTTATTATTGTAGAAGAATTAACCTCCGTTTAGAGGGAATTCGAATTTTTTAAGAACTTTCTAAATAGTTTAAACTTTTCGAAGGAGAAATTAATGAGTAGAGGATGAGTTTATAGATATAACAATCTACATTAAAGATTTCTCTACGTGATCAACATCTCGTCGTAAATCGGATTATTGCTTTCTCAAACGTCAATTTTTAAAGATAAAAAAATAATAATTCTACAGATAGCTTATCGATAAATAAATGAGTACGTTTTGTCATATCGGAGAAGTCGCTAACAAAACAAAAAAAAAAAAAAAAAAAGAAGGTTCCCCCAATAATCGTTTGAGCATTGTTATATCAGGATTTCTATCGAAAGAGTTTATCGGATTTCACTTTTGAGGGCTAGAGATGTCTGCTGCAGCGACTGACACGAGCATCGATACGTCGCCATATGGCAGTATAACTCTGCACCCCGGGGGGAGAAGGACGTATACAAAACGTCAAGATTCATTCTATTGATCGATTACTCTATCTTCCATTGCAGAAGGGTCTTAATTATGGACATGGTCGGGTCTTTAGTCGTGTAACAGCACCAGCACCTGTTGCCTCCGGCTAGGATATTTCAATTACTGATAGAAAGGAATCAATTTATTTGATAGCAACATTATGGGCCTTGTATTTAAGCACCTTGTCTATCTTTAATAATGGAAAGTGGCAGATGCCCACAGCGTGTTTGCTTCCATTAATTTATGCTCGTAAGTGTCTATATGGTTCTGTAGCTCTGTCGAGTTGTAGACTATAATTAAAGAATGTCTTAAAAGTTTATTCTCGTAGAGATTATATTAATTTATAGTCAAACCTACAAAGTTTCTGTTAACTTAGTTAAAATGGATTTTCCTTCCTCCAAAATCTAGCAAAATTCTTACTGATTTAAGAAAGTCGGGTGGGTGACTAACCCGAGAAAGTTAGGAATTTAAACATTTAACATTTGAAAGATAGAAATTCAACACAGAAGAGTAGACATAGCCGACAAAAGCAGGACATTAAGCTCATTAAAATACAATTATCCGGAAGTTGGTCCGCGAATCGCTGGCTAAAAATTGGGAAGCTGCTAATGACCAAGCTGAAGCTTTAACGCAGTCAGGCGTTGGGGCCGAACAATTCTGGCCAAATTCCAACTAAAGTATTGGGAAATCTATATAGTGCAGCTGATGATAAATGAAGACTATTGAAATTTGCTAACTTTGCTCGTTTACTTGACGTTTGGTGGGAAGGGTGTCTATCTTGATGATGCTACTGCTATATATAAAAATGTGTTGGCTTTATGATTCAAAACTTTACAACATTCTTCACTCTTCTAGAATAGGAGGAGAGGAACGTTTTAGATTTCTAGTAATTCTTCCATAATTTATGAATCTATAAAGAGCTAGAGAGAGAGAAGGGGGAGAAATTTAAGAATCTGCAATTTATCTTTAAGTACGCTCGGTTAAGATATTGAAACATTGTACTAATTTTGATTTTATTACAAAGCTTTCAACTTGATAAAAATAGAGCTTCGTCTATTTATAAGGCAATACACTTTACTCTTCATACCCAAGCGATTTAAGTCAAATATACAAGGTCCGTGTTTGTTTACGAAGTGTACACGTTCCTCTTTAGCCAAACAAGCAACCATCAACCCACTTAGCCCTGGGGCTTGTTGGATTTATTGAGCGAAAGCACGATAAGTAGGCGCTGGAAGAGTAACAGTGCAGCAATCCATACGTCGTTATGGACTTTTTGGTTTAAGTGCTCGTTACGGAAGGCCGGATTTGGGGTTCGAAGACATGGCGTAATGAGCTCTGGGAATAAATAATTGGCTAATTTTGTATATTAAGATTTTGAGCGTGTTTAACTAGAGAAGGTCTTTTATTTTTTTATTTTTGTGGGGTAAGAGTAGACGAAATGGAGTGTTTTTTTTTTTTGAGGCGTTGATGGATCGATCAATCATTCTTGGACTGCATTGACGTCAACAACTGTCGCTAGGACCATGTTCTCATCTGCATTGTGCGCTTCTTCTCACGTCTCTTTTATCTCATTGTGAATTGTCTGGAAGTCTGAATTGTAAAGAAAGAAATGAAGGTTTTGTAACCGGTAATAATACCTTATCAAATGTTATCCAAGCAGCAAAATTTCGCTCTGTTCTAAGAATTTTCCAACCTGTTAGATTTAAATTTAGCAGTTTTTATATAGACAAATACTCCTTATCTAAGCAATTTCCTAATATTTAACAAAGAAAATGTGCTTATAATTAAATGCTTATGTTATTAACATGTTTACAATAAAACTCTAAATTTAGGAACAAATTTAATTAAGTTTAAATTAAGGAACCCATTCGATTATGATTCAAAATAAGAATTAATGTTAAAAAAACTTAGTCACAGTATAGCAATTACTCCTATTTTTTTCTTCTAAAATAATATGTTTTAAGCTAATAAATCTACGATTAATAAATCAATCTTGTCAATTATTATGAGAAATTCTTCATTTATACAAAGGTCGAAATATTATCTGGGGTATGATTAAAAAGTAAACTGTAAGTCTATCTATATAGACAGAAGCCCAAACTACGAAAAAATCCGCGAGTTAATTATGTCCTGGTGTTCGGACAAATCTACAATTCCAGTCACAACTCACCATTTTTCTTGGTTTCCTGATTAGATATTCAAATCGATCGCGTAACCGAGTGTTTATCTGCAACATTTCAGGGGGATTGAGGTTTTCTTCCTCCTAGGGGGAATATCGAGCCGAGGCACGTGACCGATGCCACATCCAAACACACCCCAACTCTCAAACAGTTCACATCCTTTTCCACCGGAAGTTTAAGGCCTCGGGCCACGTGATAAGGATCGAAGAGGGCCGGAAGAGGCCGTCACCTGACAGGTCGTTAATTGGAGAGAAACGGATGACAGCGGGGATTGTTCGTAGAGACTTAACAAAAACGTCCTCCGACGATCAGGTGACTATCCTACTCGTTTCGTCACCTGACGAGTATTCTACTTAATTGATAAACCCACAAAACAATCGAAACGGCCATTCCCATAGCGTTTTTTTTCCTTCCTCCCCTTAAATTTCACTCACTAGCAGAAGAATAAATCGATGATACGTGTACATAACACGTTACTAAGTCCGAAAAAACACGAAATTTAAGAAGTTTACTACACAATCCGCACGTGATCCTATAGCATTTAAGGTCAATCTTTTTCTTTCCTTTTAATCTGAAGTTATCCTAATTAGCAGAGTGAAACAATTAACCATTCTTTAATCGAAGCTTTACGCACGATCGCGTGATGACAAAACTACAATCGTGTTAATCTTAGCCATGTAACTAAGGTTTTACTTCTCCTTAGTTTCAGCGAGATCGAACGACGAGGGAGAGAGAGAGAGAGAGAGAGAGAGAGAGAGTAGAAACTGAAGGGAAAAGCAGGTGAATACAGAAGATAAGGAGAAGGACAGCGCATTAGCGTCTGTCTAGTTTAAACTATCCATCAAGAGGTACGTCTGGCAGCTGTCACTGCGTGCAACACCTTCCTGGATAAGAGGCCGTAAACATGTATATAGACACAGTGATTAGAGGAAGCGGGAGCAAGCAGCAGCTTTTATCTTCTCCGGTTCTGCTGTCACAGTTTTTGTGGTCCGTCTCCTGTTTCCTTTATCGATTTCTCCTCTTAGGAATTTATACCTGGTCTAGCTGTCTTATTGTCCCTGATATCTTTGCTCACGTGTTTGTTTCTCGCGTAGTTCATTTTACTCCCCTCCCCCGTATAACGTAGGAGAAATTTGATCGAGGATTATCGTGTATAACATAACACTAGCTCCCGTCTCTACTCTCCGGTTATGTTTATTTTAATCTATTATATATACATATATTTTTTAATGATAGAAGCAGTTTGCGTGACTATCAAAGTAAACAAGGGCAACAAGCGAAGAGGGGGAGAAGAGAGATCGCCGTTCTCGAGCACAAAGAGCCGACAGGGCAGGTGCGAGATGCTTCTACACCACCTGCAAACTTTTACATTAACCCGTCGGTCACGTGATCGTTTAAGCAAAAATTTCGTCCAGGAATTTCGTGATGCTCCTCTAATGCTTTAGCAGCAATAAACGTTCGAGTCACATTATTACTATTATTATTATTAGTAGTATTATTATTACGCCAGTGATACGTTGTAAAACTTTGATGCGCTATTAATGTAATAAAATAAACATATTACACGACATATGAGTAATTACAAATGTAACTGGGCTATTTGAGCGAATACATTAACTTAATTTACTCCTATAGTAACACGATTAGAGAGAGAAACGTAGAAGAACTTTACTGTAATAGTAGTAAATACTTAGCAGAACTTGATTATAGTTTAAAAGTTTGTTAAAACTAGTTTTACTTTAACACTATTGCAGTAACAAAAGTTGCTAACCTCTTCCAAAATTTATGTGGCTGAGTTGGAGTGAAGGAGGATGAAGTGTGTTCTAATGAAGAGGATGGAGTGGAAGTGCACAAATGGAAACGTCTCTCGCAATTCCACTTACGTACCTTTTCGTAATTATACCATTCCACGTGCTCGAAAAGCGTTTGTGCAACCGTTCTGTCCGATCGATTTTTTTTATTCTTTTTATCTAAGGAAGAATTCATTATATTTTATATCATTTGATTCTTATTCCAAATTGTTAAGATGGCGATTCGTACATAAAAACAGGTTTAAAATTAATTTAAACGGATGTTAACTCGCTGTTTAACTTTCTTGCTAGTTAACTAGAAGATAAACTTAACACTATTTTACAGTCATTAGTTTCGTAACTGTTTGCGTAACATTCGGATCACACTCTGATACATCATATATTGATTTTACTCAGTAAACTAATATAACTATACCGGAGTCAGTAATTAGACTGTTTTATAACCAGAAATCAATACAATAGCAGAAAATCAGTGGGTTTAATTACAACTAGATCCACTGATTTCGAAACCAATATGTCGCAACCACTGCATCACACGATCAAGAACGAAACTGTAGAATAGAATATTGATTCTTCAACCGTTATACACTCAAATTATGCATCTACTGGGCTACTAATTTCGCAGCCATTGTTATTATGCAACCACTAAATGTCATTTCAAGAAACCTCATTAAACCTTCCAACCACAAAGTAATGGTTGTGTTATATATCAAGTTTTGAAGTTTCGTCCACTAGTTTCATCGATTTTCGTAAACAGTAGTAAAACCACTAATTTTGAACAGACCACTATATGATTATTTTGTAACCAACCTCCTTGAAGTACTAAACGTTGAGAGGAGAGTGTAAAATTTAGTATCTTTCTCCCTCTTTACTGCACTTAAGGTAATACAACGTGCTGGTTCCAAGCAATATGGAGGCAATGTTTCATGTTTGAAATTTTCTACAACAGAAAAATATTGTCTTGCAAAAGCAATACGTTCAACAATTACGAGAAATTTTTGTAAAATTTTGCTGTAAAAATAGTTTTAGTACACGTATAATGTAAAGGTGTATAAAATCAATATTCTATAGAGAGTAATACTATTTTTAAACGTGCGAAACGTATAAAATCACAGACTGGAATGTTAAAAAAATTAACTAAATCAGTCTGAATATTAGTGTTCAATAAAACTATATAAATAAATCATCGATTTTGTACAATTATATTCGATTTTCCGACGGTAAGAAAGTGGAAAAAATCAGTAAAATCCGGTGAAAAATTCACGAAAATGTAGCTGGGCTACCTGAACTTGAATACATTAACTTAATTTACTCGTATAGTAACACAATTAGAGAAAGATGTAGAAGAACAAAACTAATTATATAAATAATTCGTGGATTTTGTACAACTGTACATGCCAATTCATAAAATTAGTCCATGAATTAATTGCTTGAGTTTGCTAGTCACTATATGAGATAAACAAAACAAAGTAAGTATTTTAGTTTAAAAAAATGTACCGAACAATGGCATAAAATCAATAGTTAAGCCATTAAATTATTATTAAAACAAAATTTTTTAAAAAATCGCCTATTTTTTGCTTATTATAATTAATCTCTATCATTCTATAAAACAAGAATAAAATTACTCAAATATTAATGTAATATTACAAAACTTTTCAATCTGAAGTTATATATTATAATATTAAAATCAATGATTATTAATTCTTTGTTAGCAATCTAAATGCTATAAAAAGAATTTTTTTTGTTAAAAAGTTACAAGCAATATAAGGTTAATGGTTTATTAAAAGTAATTCAGTAATTAATACAGTAATTTATTATTAATCGTTGAAACTATTTAATAAATTAAGTGTCCATTAACAAAATCATAGAGTAAAAAACAGAAAATCAATTGTTATAAATTTACAGAATTAGCATTGGGGCATAGAAGCAACAAAATCTAGATGCAAAACTATAGTTTTGCATCTAGATTTTGCAGTTTTTGCATATAATTTTTGATTTTTCACTTGATATTACCGAATTTTTTCCCGATTTTTAGTTTTTCTGATTATTTTTTTCTTAAACGAAAATATAAATGAATAATTTCCCACTCGATTTTACCGATTCTTTGCTTAATTTTCCTAATTCCGGTCTACTTTTTGCCGATTCCTACGCAATTTTCGTATCTTTCTACCACTTTTCACCCGAATTTTTTTCTCCAATTAACGCATTAATAATCGATTTTTTACAGTCGAATTTACCGAACGGAATAAAATTTTACACAAAATTACTCACGACTCACCATCAATATTTGAATATTACAACTAGTTAAACCTGGATAGATAATTATAGGGCAACTAAACTACCGATTAGGCACCCATTAGACCAAATAATTCCACAAACATTACACGAGAACCCCTGGAAACCACTAGAGAAGACCAGTGACTTCTTTAACCAATTATCCATAATACCCACAGCAATAACTTCGTTACAAATAAAGAGTCCCAACCGGTCACGTGGTACAATACATAAGTAAACAGTGTTACTAGAAACGAAGGGGGTGTGCAACGTAAACAAGTGACGAATGCTAACTTCTTAGCAAGGCACCAATTTAATTAGAGAAGAAGTAGTCACCATACATCTTTTGAACTCGTACAAAGGGACCATTGTTTAGAAACTAATTAAAATTTCGCAATCATAACCAAGGGAAAAAATATAATAATAATAAAGAAAAAGATAAAAGAGGCGCCCGATCTCGTGTCTAAAAATTGTAGAAGTGTAGCTGACCCTCAGACGTCTGCGCATGTAAAAATTTCAAAAAGCTCGAGCACGCTCCGTCGCTTACTTATATAGTTAAGCCGGCAACAACTTCGAGGGTGTTAATAATATAAACTCTTATATCTATAATTAAAGACGGGATTTTCTACAGTTTTCTTAGTAAAATTAAGTAATAATGTGTTAAAATTAATATTTTAAACATTTTTTAACGATTTAATATAATGTATCAACAGAAAAAAAATCCGTTTTATAAAAGTTTTATTAACCGGTAGTATTGCCATTTATCTTTCATTATTGCACTCTATTAAATTGATTTTTTTTTCGTTTCAGTTTTTTATGCGTTTATAAAATGTTAAAAAAAATTCAAATTTCAAATATAATGACGTCATTCGATTTGAGATTTTTAAATTATTTAAACGCAATTTAAAATGAACGCTATTGATTGGTTCAAATGATCGCATTATTGATGACGTATTAAATTTTTCTAGTATTATTGTCTTGTCGAATTAATTATTAATCATAAGTATTTTTTTATTAACGTTTTACTACAGTAAAACGTTAATACAATATTTCTGAAGTGTGTCTGTCCGTTACGCTCTATATAACTGTACGTCGAGACGGAATTTTTCTTAAAAATTGGTAAAAAAATATATATATATAATAATTATAATTTCATTCAAAATTAACAATTTATTGTAATTTTTTTAATAATTAAAGATTATAATGGCTTTATTTAAATTATAATTAAATTTACTATTATTATTTAAAATTAAAATCGATGACGAAATAATAACTATAATTATGACGCTTGATGACCTAACAGAAATTCAAATTTTTTAATGATTAAGAATTAAAAGTTTGTTTAAAAAATTTTCAATTTCTCTTACGTCATCAAATATGATAGGTAATGACGTAAAATTCACTTTTTTTAACTAATAAAAAATAATAACTCGATGACGTAACAGAAATGTGTTATTAATTAATTTCTACGTCAGAGTATCAACCGTTAATGTGATATAACAATTAATAAATTAAACTAAACAATAAAGAAATTGAATTTTTACTTTTCCGGTTCTGTTATATATAACAGAGGGAAAGTATGGCGATCGGTCAAAAATGACCTCCCCCCCAATATTTTTACATTTTTGGACTTAGGACACCTTGAGGAAACATCGAGAAATGCAAAAAATTCGGGGGTTTTTCCTGTATGTATGGATGTTTGTGTGTGGGGCACGATTTTGTTTACCATCTTTGAAGCTTAATAACTCCTGCGTTTTTTGTCGAAAATTTCTGAAATTTTGCAGGTAGGTTTGTGTAATAGTGGGATTGATGCTATTAAATTTTGGCGGTTAAAGGTCGAGGGGTGGGGAAATACAGGGGATCGTGTGTCATACCTCGAGTAGTGTAGGACTTATTGACGATTTTACTCGTTAGCCTTTACAATTTTTTATAAAACCCAGCCCTACTCTAAGTTTTTTGCCATTTTATAACGAGTAAAAAATTTTATAACAGATGACACCACCAAAATTTTAAACGTTTCCGGGAAAGTTAAGCAACTCTTCGCTGAATTTCCATAATGACAAATTGAATTTTTTTAACTAAAAAACGAGATAAAATCTCAGAGTTTTACTACAGAATTAGTAAATTTAAAAAGTAGATAAATCATTTTAGAATAAGACACGAGAATGAGCGTGCCTCAAAATTTACGTGATTCAAAAATTTTGGTATCTTTGACGATCTTTCCCATTTGGAGGGTACTTAACGCCCTCGTTTCTCCCCATCTCCCTCTCGTAGTGTCGTATGTTGGAGACACTTTTGTCAATTAGGACGTCGCTTTTAATTTTATGAAGTCTTCCTTTTGTTTGAAGGCGTCGAGTAGAATAATTAAAAATACCAGCATGATGTCTCTAAGGGGAAGAAACTATCTCAAGTTTGCAAATCTCTATGTTTTTTGACATTTCGTAAGATTCTCGTTAATTTTTCAGAAAAAAAAATACATTTTTAACAAGAATCTCGTAATAGATTTAATGATTTATTAATACGAATATGACGACAACGAGGATCGAGGAGAGACGAGCAGACAACCTTACAGACAATTAAAATTAATACATATATAATTTTTCTCGATTGTAATTAATGTTAGAGATGTGTGTATGTATATATATATATATTCTGAATTTTTAAGGAAAAATTAAGAAAACGTGGTGAATTAATTTAATAATTTATTAATGTAAATATAAACGTTGACAATGACGATTGTGAAGAGACCGCAGACAGCCTGACAGACGGTTAAAATTAATACAGAAAAAAAATTTCAGTTTAGTAAGAAAAATACGGAATTTTTTAAAAGAAAATAATGTCATTAAGGCTTGAATTTTTTTACAGATCAAGTAAAGGCTTATTAATGCTTTCAAATAAAAAAAGTAATAATAATTCTTTAAATTTAAAACATTTTTATAAAATTATTCCTTTGAAAATGTCCACTTTTTCACCTGTTCAAATTAAACTTTACACCTTTATTTTTAAGTTTTTAATTAAAAATAATGCTTTTAAATTTTTTAAGAAGAAGAATTCTCATTGAACGTCTTAATAGAGTTAATATATATTTTTTGAAGGTTGTTACAGGATAGTCGGGTGGCAAACAATGTCATTAATTTACATTTTCTTACGGGTTATTTTTTTTAAATTAACAAAACAATTACTTTTCCCCCCTAAAATCTAAATTATATAGACGTGATGCAAAGACTTTGCAACTTAATTAGCCCACTAGAAGCAAGAATAGCGCTGGAAGATAATTTTTTTTTTTTTTTAAATTAATCGTATAATTTCGTCTCGAAAATTCCTATTGGTTAATATGTAAACAGTATTGAGATTTAAATATATATTCTTACCTTTTCTCATTCGTTAAGAAATTTTTTAAAGGACGATCACGTGACTGTTTTAACGACGTTCGTGACATTTAAATTTTCGTGTCACATGCCTTGGTATCAGCCAATAGAATTCGATAAATTCGAACTGAGACGTGATTGCGTGACCTTTTCGTTAATCTTAAATTATTGATTTATTCAATAGAATGACCCATCACAAAGTTCGTAAGTTTTCAGAATCATACGATCACGTTTCAATTTAACTTTCAAAACGCTCTTATTGATTCGTAGTTAAGCGTGCCGCGTGATTATTGGTCACGTGACGCGCCCCGATTTAACGTTTCCCCACTCTCATTTCTGCCGTAACGTGATTATACAATTTGAAATTCGAAACGTAATGCGATCACATGACACTTTTTAAAAATTTTTTAAAAGATTTTTTTAAAAAAATTTGAAAATATTCGTTAATTCCATCACGTGATTTTACAATAAAAAAATTTGAATTTCAATTCCGTCACGTGGCAATTTTACTCGGTTTTATTGGACTAATCGAGTCGCGTAACACGCCATATTTAAAAACGTTCTCTCATTGGTTTCTGTAATCACGTGATTCGAAAATTCGAAATTTAAACGTCCACGTGGTAATTTTAAACACAATTTTTTAAATTTTAGATACGGGCTTCGTAAGGAAATACAAACTAAATTAATTATTTTTTTTTATTTTTTTCCCTCCTCTTTCATTTTAATTAGATCAATTAAGTATATATTTTAATGAGTTTAGAAAATTAACAAAGTAAAAAGAATAAACAATATTAAATAAATAATTTTTATGTAAAAAGGACGAAGAGAAGAAAATGAAAGATCAATAAAGTAAACACAACCTATACCCGAAAACCATTTTTGATTAATAATAGCTTTAAATAGCTTGCTACACGAATATTTTCCAGCATCTATCTATACTAATTGCTTATAAATGAAAACAAGTTACTGTCACAGACACAAAATTAATAGCGTGATGAAAGAGTTATTAATTTTTGTTAATAACTTTAAGGATAAACAATTTTCTTTCAATAATATTTTTAATTCTTCTCTACTATTAATTAAACTAGATATTCAAGAATGAAAAAATATTATATATATACATATATACACACACGAATTAGACACGAGAATGAGCGTGCCTCAAAATTTACGTGATTCAAAAATTTTGGTATCTTTGACGATCTTTCCCATTTGGAGGGTACTTAACGCCCTCGTTTCTNTATTTATATTTATATATTTATATTTATGCCATTAAAATAGCTTCCTGTACAAAAACCTATAATTGTTATTACGGATAGTGCAGGTATCATGCATCTAAATCCGCCATCATTTTACGAAAATCGGCAAGTAAATTGTAATCTGGATCTTCGTCGATGTCCACCATGTCCTGAGATGAGTCCAATTTACGGAATGTTGGATTATATCGAGATAAACAAAGAGGACATGGCAATAACTCTGGCATGACGGAATGGTGAGTAATGAGTGCAGTCAATGTGCTGAATTCTTTGGTGAAACCCTAAAAAAAATAATAATAAAATATATATATTAATGAAGTATTTTTAATGTAAATCATTAATAAAACATTTGAAAAGTTCGAATTTGAATTTAGAAAAGTAAATTTTAAATTATATCGATGCTAATTAGACTGTGTTTTCAGGTATTTATGATTAAGGTAGAAGGGGGTAAGCAGGTCTTGGATCGAGCCTAGAACATGGACGGGCTCCTAAAATTTAATATTTTATATAGGAAAACATGATATATATTTTTAATCATTTGTATACTTTCATATTTGGTATTTTTTAGCTTTAGGAGAGGTTGGGGACTCCACATTTTTACAGACTTAAACACACTTACAAAGGGTCTAAAGAAATTTAATTTTATATTGAAAAAATAATTTTAAATAAATATAAAATTAATAAAATTAATGATTTAAGATGTTATTTTTAATTGTCTCCAAACAGGACTTAAATCATTAAATGTATCTTGAAATTTTAAAAGATTCAGTTTCTTAAATTATATAAATTGATAATTCTTCTTCTTATGTTAAGAATTATTTATGTGGAAGAGTTGTAAGAAAAGAAGGAAAACACTAAAAAATTTATCGTCCCTAATAATTAGTGGTGTAGCTGACAACTTATCTACTTCCCGGTGACAAAGATAAATTTTAGTGCAAACACAAACCTTGATCTTGTAACCTCGATTTGTTCTCATGATAAGATAATGGGCAATTCCGGATGGGTGGAAATCTCTAGGCACTCGCAGAGACAAAGCATAGCATCCTGGTTTACTCGTGCTTTCTCTCACCATAAAAGATCCTACAGGCTCTTGAGCCAACACTTCCAACGCTATTTCCCTGCAAAAATGAACACGTTCAACAATCACCTACTTAAAGAAATTTGTAATTAAAAATCACTTCAAAGTTTTTAGAAAAGGAGGAAAGGGAGGGGGGAAAATATATGTACAGTACATTTTTCTAACGAATATCTTACTCGAGTAAGTTTGAAATATTTGATTTTACTTATGATTTATGTGAGCTTTCTGGATCATCGATTTATATAAAATTAATTTCATTTTGAATAAAATAGCCCTTTTAAAATTATGCAAATGTGTCGACTAACCTCGGTATTCCTGCTTGGAACCAAGGTGCACCCTTAAGTTCTTTCTCTTCAGACATCTGAGCGTGAAGAGAATCGTATCTGTACAAAAGTAACGAAGAATAGGGTCAAATATATATAAAATAATAATAATAATAAATTGAAGTTATTGTAATATACCTTTCCGGTGGAGGTGGGGGTGGTGTGCTGCTGTTACTACTGCTATGACTTATTCGTTTTCCTCTACATCCTACTGATTCTGATTTATCGTCCCCCGATACCACAGAATCGGAAAGAGAGGGTGCACTGTGGTCACAAGAAGACTGAGATGACCTCTTACTGCTGAAATCACTAGAGAGTTCCAATAGACTTTCTTCATCAGTGGCTGGTGCCGTCGGTAACTGGCTCGTTCTACACAGTTGGAAGCTCTGTATAAAAATAATTTAATCCTGTATAAATTTATTTAAAAAAACAAGTCTTAATACAGCCATTTATAATGTACAATGCCTGTTATTTCGGCATTTATATATTATATAAATCTGTGTTTAAATTTTAAATGAAATTCTTTAGATTTCGCCTACTTCATAGCTTTGAAAGTAATTTTTATAGATAAATAAATGAGAAAAAGGACCATAAAATAGATTCCTGTATACGATTCTGTTGTTAAATTACATTTAAAAGTTTAAAATTGTCACTAAAAACTCACATTTTTCTTAGGAGAGAGTGGATTAATCTCTTGACTGTTTTTTCCTTCCCAATTTGAAGCTTCGTTAACGTAACCCCCCGACAGAGGACGATTATGACTCATTACTTTTCCATCAGATTTTTCTCCAACGTCTACTGTTTTCAGCAGGGGTGGTTTTTCTTTCATCTGCTTCCACGTGTTCAGTTCTGTAGGAGAATTGTTATCTTCGCTGCTACTTGGAGACCACAGATCACCGCTTGTTGCGTCACCGTTCGTTACGGAAGTTGTAACTTGTAGAGCCAAAGAAAAGTTACTGTTCCTACCGAGGAATGTTGGAGATGATGATCCTGAAGAAGAGGGATGTGCAGAGTCGTGGAATGTTCCATTATTAGTAGTCACAATGTCCATGTCGGGGTTAGATGATGTGTTGAGTTCTAAAACGCTGCTGATTAATGGGTCATTATGGCGTGTTTTCCCTACTATCTTCTTTGCCTGAAATTGTAAATATTGTTTCATTTCTACTGAATTGTTATAAGATTACGTAGAACACAGAACAAAGTAGAAACAACAAAACTAAATTACGTAGAACAAAGTATAAACAGCATTCAACACTGACTTCTGTATATCCTCATCTTTTTTTTATTATCTGACAAATATAGGATTATGCTATATGAAAAGTTTTTCATTATTAAAAACTTTATTTCAAGAGCGTCATAAAGAAAATAAGTAATGAAAGATTGCATAGATTCTCAGCGATCCCACTCCAACCCGAGACTTAAGGTTGATTAGTGTGAACATCAAACGTGAAGTAGAAATTAACCATAAAAATTCTGATTTACAGCCTTTACTCTTCTACAATTGGAAAAGGGAGCATAAAATGCATCCAACAACAAAATATTCGCGTTTTCAGCAATAAAATTGGCGACACACTACCTAAAAATCCACTTGATAGAATTAAAGCTCTCTCTCTTCTTCTCTCGGCTGCTCCTCTACAATTCAAAGACAAAAGGATGAAGAAGTTTTTTGCCAGTACAGACCCACTCAACAGATATTATTGGGATTGGTTGCTATGGTGACGAGAGTTGAACCAAACTAATGTGGATGGAACAAGACGTGGAGATTAGGGTGATGTCGGTATTGCTGTCTACACTCTAGGGATCCCCACAGGTGGATTCAGATCCACGAAGATTAAGCAACAATCTGTCAGGGATCGAATGACTTTTGCATTTATCACGTTACCGACCTGAAAGATTATAAGCGAACCAACGTATGTTATTAACACATATTATGATCATTGATCCTCTTTACTTCAGAAACTTTCTAAGCTTCTTCCATTCACCTAACTTAAACTTATAGAATCTAATAATTGTAAGCATCTTCTATAATATTTTCTAGTTTAATGTAGTCCTATAATAGGAATAAAAATTCTATTTATTTCCTTATTCTGCAATGTTGAATATAAGCAAAATTAAACCTCCGTTTTCCTATATTCAACGTAGTTTAATAACTTATAAAAGAAACCTGATAACTAAATATTGTTTATTTTAAAAACTTTATAAGGTTATAAAAGATTTTTTGGGCTTTAAATTGTTATTTCTTTCTAATCTCATTGCTTATACTATAACGTTCTTCCTCCCAGAAGAATTTTTCTCTCTCTCTCTCTCTCTCTCTTTTTTTTTAACTTAAGATGCTGGCTAAGATTAAAAGAATGAAACAAGAAAACCAGTCGGTATGAAATTCGATATCTTAGGTAGTGAAGTAGTTTGTCAGGTGAGCTTCTTCTGACGTGTGCTTCATTCTAAAGAAGCGTCAGTAAACTTTGTAACCTTATATCTAAAATTTCTTCCATACATTCCCTTTTGTTACATAAAAAGGATTTTCAAAATAGCATTGACTTCGCGACACGATACTATTCCCTAGACTTATTTGCATAAATCTATTAATTTATATAGGGTAGGGTAGTGAACAGTTTCTACCCCGTATAAAAAAAAGTAAATGAATTTTTTAAAATAAAATATATTATACTTTTTGAAATTTAATTGATATGAAATTTACAGTAAGTTTTATTTATATATAAAATAGGGATTTGAAAGAAAAATCAGCAATTTCGTGTTCTGATCTTGCTGTTATGTCAGATCTAAGTAGATACAGATGAAGGATTTTTTTCCTTTCAAAACAGATCAAAGAGGAATCGATCCTGAAAATCCGATTTCGATCATAAATATGTTGATCAAAATGTTTTTTTTCTTTTACCCCCATAATATAGAAAGAGGAATATATATGTATATTTATAAAAGTATATTGAATCTACGTATTTCACGTGCATTTTATTTCTTTACATTTCATTTTAATTCATTGTTCGTTCTCTCTTGCATATTTCATTTTCGTTATTTACTTTTATCATTCATACATTCCTTTATTAATAAACAATTTTTACAATTCACTTTCACTTATTTCATTCACTTTTTTTTTTTACTACATTTCATTCGTAATGAAATTGGTATAATTTTTTTACAAACGTAATTTTAATGAATTAAACGTGAAAATTACAACGTTTTCTTAAACTTTCAGAAAACGATTTTAAAATAAAACAATAATTTCAAATTAAAATTATTTCTTTATACAAATACTTTTATATTAAAGGAGAAAAATCTCTATTTTATTAAATAATCTCCAATAGAGGATTAGAAATTTAAAATAGAAGGATAAAAAAAAAATGGTATTTTAGAAACGTTTTATACTCTTTCGATTGAAACTGGTGGACTTGAAACCCGCAACTTTACTTAGTTAAATGAAATGCATTGGAACAAAAGCCAACCAACATTGTCTTTTTTTTTATATTGATTTTTATTTTATTTTATTTTATTGCTAGTGTGTCATTGGATTTTTTTCCCTCTCTCTCTCTCTCTCGCTCTTCCTCTTCTTACTCGTTTCTAAATATCATTGACGTTGATCATTTTTATAAACATTTCTGTTGAGAAATATAAAGATCGACTGTGAGACTTTCCGCACTATTGAATTTATAATATATTCATGTTATTCGCTTAAATTGAAAATTAAATTGTGTGTTTCGGATGACGAAATTGTAATATATTTCTTTTCTATTNTAAAAGTCTGCTCTGACTCGCACGTATAACTTATATATATAAAAAAAAAGAATTTTTTTTATAGATTATTACTCTATCTTCGCATCTCATTTTACTCTATTCATCTAGAGCTACTAAATATCACTATAATTACCATGTCCGGCATGCCATCACCATTATAGTCAGATAACAATAGTTATGGATGACCTTGATTATGCTGCATTCCATTCCGATAAGGCACAAGTAAGGTCATATAAAGGTTAAAGAAGATACTGCTAGAATGGTAAATAATTTATTGCTTGTTTAAGTATTCTCGCTCTGTCGGTTTGTTACGATTATTTGTTATTATCTTTAGACACGTGATGCGATTGTGTTTGTATTTTGTTTCGTTTAATGTGTGGGCACTGAGGCAAGATGTTATTGTGACATTAACTTCGTGTAATATGAAGATCGGAGAAGTAATTTAAATGTTAAGATTTTAATTTGAGTAATGCAACGCTGGGAAAGATAATTACCTTGTTTATACTTTATAATACAACATTTGACTATGAGAAACACAAATAAGGGACAACGTCAAAACATGAATTGTTACTCGTAATTAACATCAAATTTTCACATTTTCTTAATTTAATTGTATAATTTACTCTTCGGAGAGATGAATCTTCAACATTCACGAGGTTTTATATTTATTATAATTATTAAATTAACTTATGTATTTAAGGTTTATTTTTTTCCTTCCCTCCCTCCCCTATTTTGTATCACATAGTATACGAATTATTATTCCACAAATTATAAAGTTAGTTAGTTAGTTACCCAATTAATTTAATTTGTAATTATAAACGAATATAGAAACGATATAATCGATAATAAATCATTTAGCATTATCGACAATTTACTTTCCTTTAGAAAAAATTAACCGATCGTTGATTGATGTTCTAAGTAAAAATTAAAGTAATTTTAAATGTATGACATCACGTAACAAACTGCTAGTTAATCATTGTCTTTTTTTTCCCCCTCTTCTAAATAGAAACTAAAAATTTTTAAAGACGTAAACATGTAATCAATAATGTATAAGTCATGCTTTTTTTATCGTGACAGTTTTGCATTTTTATATAATGAAAATCGAACTTAATATTGATAAATGTTTCTAATATATTAATTAAATTTTTTCGTTTTTTTAAATAATAATTTTTTAAATAAGAAATTAAAGTTATATTAACGAGAAAAACCTTTGACAAGCACTCATATTTGATCAATAAATACCTAATGAGTTATTAATATGTATAACATAAAATCATATACAAGAAACCTTACTTTAAAATATTAAAATAAAGGTTTAACTAAGATATTTTATCAGTTAAATATACACAAATAGTATAAAAAGTATTAATATTTTAATCAATAGTTAATTAATTAATATCTATTAAATTTTAATTACAATTTTTACTACTGTATCCCTGTAAAAATAATTTTAATTAAACGTACTAACAGTTCATTCATAAAAAAATTAATGAATTAAAAAAATGATAGTAGCACGCCCTAAACTTGAGTAAAAATAAATAAAATTGATTAATAAAAATAAAAAGAAAAAGAAATTTTACTACTGCACGCCTGAAGTGAATGATACAGACAAACCATAACATTTCTGCTAATCAGTTCCATTCACGCGCTGATAGTGAATGAAACATATTAATTAAAATGTTTATACGTAAAACACGAGATAAATCACGTGCCAATATTAAGAGAGAGAGGGAGAGACTTTGAAAAGAATTAAAACTAAATGAAAATATTGATAAAATAAGTAGTTTTATATATACTTAGAAGCGCAATTAATTAAAAAAAATAAAGAAACGAAATTAATAAAAGTTTTTATTAAAAAATATGCAAATATACGCCTTATTAACGAAAATGAATGAAAAGTTGAATTNAAGTTACAAGCAATATAAGGTTAATGGTTTATTAAAAGTAATTCAGTAATTAATACAGTAATTTATTATTAATCGTTGAAACTATTTAATAAATTAAGTGTCCATTAACAAAATCATAGAGTAAAAAACAGAAAATCAATTGTTATAAATTTACAGAATTAGCATTGGGGCATAGAAGCAACAAAATCTAGATGCAAAACTATATTTTTGCATCTAGATTTTGCAGTTTTTGCATATAATTTTTGATTTTTCACTTGATATTACCGAGTTTTTTTCCGATTTTTAGTTTTTATGATTATTTTATTCTTAAACGAAAATATAAATGAATAATTTCCCACTCGATTTTACCGATTCTTTGCCTAATTTTCCTAATTCCGGTCTACTTTTTGCCGATTCCTACGCAATTTTAGTATCTTTCTACCACTTTTCACCCGAATTTTTTTCTCCAATTAACGCATTAATAATCGATTTTTTACAGTCGAATTTACCGAACGGAATAAAATTTTACACAAAATTACTCACGACTCACCATCAATATTTGAATATTACAACTAGTTAAACCGTGGATAGATAATTATAGGGCAACTAAACTACCGATTAGGCACCCATTAGACCAAATAATTCCACAAACATTACACGAGAACCCCTGGAAACCACTAGAGAAGACCAGTGACTTCTTTAACCAATTATCCATAATACCCACAGCAATAACTTCGTTACAAATAAAGAGTCCCAACCGCTCACGTGGTACAATACACAAGTAAACAGTGTTACTAGAAACGAAGGGGGTGTGCAACGTAAACAAGTGACGAATGCTAACTTCTTAGCAAGGCACCAACTTAATTAGAGAAGAAGTAGTCACCATACATCTTTTGAACTCGTACAAAGGGACCATTGTTTAGAAACTAATTAAAATTTCGCAATCATAACCAAGGGAAAAAATATAATAATAATAAAGAAAAAGATAAAAGAGGCGCCCGATCTCGTGTCTAAAAATTGTAGAAGTGTAGCTGACCCTCAGACGTCTGCGCATGTAAAAATTTCAAAAAGCTCGAGCACGCTCCGTCGCTTACTTATATAGTTAAGCCGGCAACAACTTCGAGGGTGTTAATAATATAAACTCTTATATCTATAATTAAAGACGGGATTTTCTACAGTTTTCTTAGTAAAATTAAGTAATAATGTGTTAAAATTAATATTTTAAACATTTTTTAACGATTTAATATAATGTATCAACAGAAAAAAAATCCGTTTTATAAAAGTTTTATTAACCGGTAGTATTGCCATTTATCTTTCATTATTGCACTCTATTAAATTGATTTTTTTTTCGTTTCAGTTTTTTATGCGTTTATAAAATGTTAAAAAAAATTCAAATTTCAAATATAATGACGTCATTCGATTTGAGATTTTTAAATTATTTAAACGCAATTTAAAATGAACGCTATTGATTGGTTCAAATGATCGCATTATTGATGACGTATTAAATTTTTCTAGTATTATTGTCTTGTCGAATTAATTATTAATCATAAGTATTTTTTTATTAACGTTTTACTACAGTAAAACGTTAATACAATATTTCTGAAGTGTGTCTGTCCGTTACGCTCTATATAACTGTACGTCGAGACGGAATTTTTCTTAAAAATTGGTTAAAAAAAATATATATATATTTTTTCTCTTCCCCTGTTCTGAAGCAAATCATTTTCCTTCCAGGTAGCATCTGATTTGCAGTCTGATCACTGTGTAAACTAAAGATATTACACTGTCTGACCACCACACCCTTTCTCTCGCAACCCACCGAGCGAAAGTAATTTATTTTAAACATTTTCATACATGGACCACTCCGCGAAACTCATTTCCCAATCGGCAGTAAAGTAAATAAACATACTAACTTGTACTTTTACAAATATAAAAAAAAAAACCAGCCTGGAAACACTAAGTAAACATCCTGGTCAATTTTTAAATTTGTTCCAGATTGTAAAGTTTAGTCTAGAAAACTACGACCAAATGCTATTTCGATGATTGTCATCCTTTTCCATAATAGGAAACTATTAGCAACGGTTAATTAAAACTCTTCAGCATACCAAACATTCAACTATTTCGAAGGATAAGACCTCTTTAATTAAATATTTTCCCTTCACAAAATCAAAGAATTTGTTAACAATTATTATATAGTTCCAAATGACCGAATACTTATTGCCATTTTGTTTTACATTTATTATTGTAGAAGAATTAACCTCCGTTTAGAGGGAATTCGAATTTTTTAAGAACTTTCTAAATAGTTTAAACTTTTCGAAGGAGAAATTAATGAGTAGAGGATGAGTTTATAGATATAACAATCTACATTAAAGATTTCTCTACGTGATCAACATCTCGTCGTAAATCGGATTATTGCTTTCTCAAACGTCAATTTTTAAAGATAAAAAAATAATAATTCTACAGATAGCTTATCGATAAATAAATGAGTACGTTTTGTCATATCGGAGAAGTCGCTAACAAAACAAAAAAAAAAAAAAAAAAAAAGGTTCCCNAATACAGAAAAAAAATTTCAGTTTAGTAAGAAAAATACGGAATTTTTTAAAAGAAAATAATGTCATTAAGGCTTGAATTTTTTTACAGATCAAGTAAAGGCTTATTAATGCTTTCAAATAAAAAAAGTAATAATAATTCTTTAAATTTAAAACATTTTTATAAAATTATTCCTTTGAAAATGTCCACTTTTTCACCTGTTCAAATTAAACTTTACACCTTTATTTTTAAGTTTTTAATTAAAAATAATGCTTTTAAATTTTTTAAGAAGAAGAATTCTCATTGAACGTCTTAATAGAGTTAATATATATTTTTTGAAGGTTGTTACAGGATAGTCGGGTGGCAAACAATGTCATTAATTTACATTTTCTTACGGGTTATTTTTTTTAAATTAACAAAACAATTACTTTTCCCCCCTAAAATCTAAATTATATAGACGTGATGCAAAGACTTTGCAACTTAATTAGCCCACTAGAAGCAAGAATAGCGCTGGAAGATAATTTTTTTTTTTTTTTTAAATTAATCGTATAATTTCGTCTCGAAAATTCCTATTGGTTAATATGTAAACAGTATTGAGATTTAAATATATATTCTTACCTTTTCTCATTCGTTAAGAAATTTTTTAAAGGACGATCACGTGACTGTTTTAACGACGTTCGTGACATTTAAATTTTCGTGTCACATGCCTTGGTATCAGCCAATAGAATTCGATAAATTCGAACTGAGACGTGATTGCGTGACCTTTTCGTTAATCTTAAATTATTGATTTATTCAATAGAATGACCCATCACAAAGTTCGTAAGTTTTCAGAATCATACGATCACGTTTCAATTTAACTTTCAAAACGCTCTTATTGATTCGTAGTTAAGAGTGCCGCGTGATTATTGGTCACGTGACGCGCCCCGATTTAACGTTTCCCCACTCTCATTTCTGCCGTAACGTGATTATACAATTTGAAATTCGAAACGTAATGCGATCACATGACACTTTTTAAAAATTTTTTAAAAGATTTTTTTAAAAAAATTTGAAAATATTCGTTAATTCCATCACGTGATTTTACAATAAAAAAATTTGAATTTCAATTCCGTCACGTGGCAATTTTACTCGGTTTTATTGGACTAATCGAGTCGCGTAACACGCCATATTTAAAAACGTTCTCTCATTGGTTTCTGTAATCACGTGATTCGAAAATTCGAAATTTAAACGTCCACGTGGTAATTTTAAACACAATTTTTTAAATTTTAGATACGGGCTTCGTAAGGAAATACAAACTAAATTAATTATTTTTTTTTATTTTTTTCCCTCCTCTCATTTTAATTAGATCAATTAAGTATATATTTTAATGAGTTTAGAAAATTAACAAAGTAAAAAGAATAAACAATATTAAATAAATAATTTTTATGTAAAAAGGACGAAGAGAAGAAAATGAAAGATCAATAAAGTAAACACAACCTATACCCGAAAACCATTTTTGATTAATAATAGCTTTAAATAGCTTGCTACACGAATATTTTCCAGCATCTATCTATACTAATTGCTTATAAATGAAAACAAGTTACTGTCACAGACACAAAATTAATAGCGTGATGAAAGAGTTATTAATTTTTGTTAATAACTTTAAGGATAAACAATTTTCTTTCAATAATATTTTTAATTCTTCTCTACTATTAATTAAACTAGATATTCAAGAATGAAAAAATATTATATATATACATATATACACACACATCTTTTAACATTACTTGACCTTCTAAAAAAATGAGAGAAAATGTATATAAAATAATATTTTATATACAATTTTTTTAACATTAAGTAAAATCGAATGAGTGCTATTTAAGTGATTCTGTATCGAAAATTAATATATTAAAAGGAACCATTACCTTGTCATAACTAACCACACCCCTATTGTCTTGATATTATTTTAGATAATAAAGAAGATATTTATAGAAAGAAAAATTTCAGAAGAGAAGAAAAAAGAAAGTTGTACGCAGTTGAGAAATGTAATTTTATTTTATTGACTTTTAATCATTTTTTAAAATAGATAAGAAAATTAGATTTATAATATCGTTTCGTGTACTTAATAGATTATTTCTTTTTTTATATGTAATCCTAATAGATTTTTTTCTATGAATAATCTTTATAATTTTAATTAAATTGTTATTTATTTATCGAGTGAATTCGATTTTTCCAACCGGTGGCTCGCGATCTATTAAACTTTTAAGATCTTTTAACGGCTCTCTCAGAGATCGAAAGAGGTCCTATAACTTAAATTTGAGGTCCCTGTATGTAAATACATTGCTTTTCATAATATAACAGAAATTCAACGGAATAATAATTTATTAAAACTGTTTTTTTTGTTTTTTTTTGAGGCTCTAGCTAAATGGTCTTACTGTCCTCCCTGTGTTAAATTCTGTCTTCTATAGAAGCGAGTAGTTTGTATCTATCTATGCTTAAATATTTATTGTCAATATTTGAAATTCTATACATTTTCGCTATCTTCATTAAAAGATTAACTCTTTTTTTTATCAATATACGAGTATTTTAATTTACTTTCTTTTATGCATAAGGTTCTTGTATTTACTTTTCTTTTTAAGAACAAACGAAGAAAATCAACACAATTTTTCTCTTTTAGAAATCCATAAATCTGTATCTTTCTTTCTCTTTTTTCTTATATAAATATTCAATATTTTTGTTACTTCATATATAAATTAAATATACTTTTTTTTTTTAAATTTCTTTCCTATTTTTCATGCAAGCGTATCTGTAAACACGATAATATCTCACTTAGCTGGCTTTTTATGGCAAAGACAATCTACACTTATACTTTTTGATTACTGTAAATTCAATTAGTTGCTCCCTTCACGCATTCTTTCTTATCTCCTTTATTTTCTAATTAATTAATCCTAATAATAAAACAAAGATATCATCCCTGCAACTATTTCAAAATTAAAAATCTTGCAAATCTCCCAGGCAAAATACGATAACAAGACTGCGATTCTTCTTCTATTTTCTCGAATTTTCTCAAGGGAACCAATTATGTTAGCTTTCTACACTCTCTGGCTTCTCTTTCAACAATAGATTATAAACTTCTTCTTTTTTTATTATTATTATTTTTTTCCTTTAAAAAAATCTGAATACGCCGTTTTCTATACAAAACAGAAAAGGGGAGAAGGGAAAAAACAGAGGGAGGGGAAGAGAAAAAAAATCTATTTTTTGAAAATTTTATTGAAAAATCTTTCTTTTACTATAATATATGTTAGAAAATTTTAATATAATTTATAACGTAATTCCCAATACGCCTAAAGGCTTAATTTATATAAGGTTGCATTCTTATTTTAATTAACTTTAAAAAAAAAAGGGAATGGAATGACTTACATAAGATAAAAGTCTGCTCTGACTCGCACGTATAACTTATATATATAAAAAAAAAGAATTTTTTTTATAGATTATTACTCTATCTTCGCATCTCATTTTACTCTATTCATCTAGAGCTACTAAATATCACTATAATTACCATGTCCGGCATGCCATCACCATTATAGTCAGATAACAATAGTTATGGATGACCTTGATTATGCTGCATTCCATTCCGATAAGGCACAAGTAAGGTCATATAAAGGTTAAAGAAGATACTGCTAGAATGGTAAATAATTTATTGCTTGTTTAAGTATTCTCGCTCTGTCGGTTTGTTACGATTATTTGTTATTATCTTTAGACACGTGATGCGATTGTGTTTGTATTTTGTTTCGTTTAATGTGTGGGCACTGAGGCAAGATGTTATTGTGACATTAACTTCGTGTAATATGAAGATCGGAGAAGTAATTTAAATGTTAAGATTTTAATTTGAGTAATGCAACGCTGGGAAAGATAATTACCTTGTTTATACTTTATAATACAACATTTGACTATGAGAAACACAAATAAGGGACAACGTCAAAACATGAATTGTTACTCGTAATTAACATCAAATTTTCACATTTTCTTAATTTAATTGTATAATTTACTCTTCGGAGAGATGAATCTTCAACATTCACGAGGTTTTATATTTATTATAATTATTAAATTAACTTATGTATTTAAGGTTTATTTTTTTCCTTCCCTCCCTCCCCTATTTTGTATCACATAGTATACGAATTATTATTCCACAAATTATAAAGTTAGTTAGTTAGTTACCCAATTAATTTAATTTGTAATTATAAACGAATATAGAAACGATATAATCGATAATAAATCATTTAGCATTATCGACAATTTACTTTCCTTTAGAAAAAATTAACCGATCGTTGATTGATGTTCTAAGTAAAAATTAAAGTAATTTTAAATGTATGACATCACGTAACAAACTGCTAGTTAATCATTGTCTTTTTTTTCCCCCTCTTCTAAATAGAAACTAAAAATTTTTAAAGACGTAAACATGTAATCAATAATGTATAAGTCATGCTTTTTTTATCGTGACAGTTTTGCATTTTTATATAATGAAAATCGAACTTAATATTGATAAATGTTTCTAATATATTAATTAAATTTTTTCGTTTTTTTAAATAATAATTTTTTAAATAAGAAATTAAAGTTATATTAACGAGAAAAACCTTTGACAAGCACTCATATTTGATCAATAAATACCTAATGAGTTATTAATATGTATAACATAAAATCATATACAAGAAACCTTACTTTAAAATATTAAAATAAAGGTTTAACTAAGATATTTTATCAGTTAAATATACACAAATAGTATAAAAAGTATTAATATTTTAATCAATAGTTAATTAATTAATATCTATTAAATTTTAATTACAATTTTTACTACTGTATCCCTGTAAAAATAATTTTAATTAAACGTACTAACAGTTCATTCATAAAAAAATTAATGAATTAAAAAAATGATAGTAGCACGCCCTAAACTTGAGTAAAAATAAATAAAATTGATTAATAAAAATAAAAAGAAAAAGAAATTTTACTACTGCACGCCTGAAGTGAATGATACAGACAAACCATAACATTTCTGCTAATCAGTTCCATTCACGCGCTGATAGTGAATGAAACATATTAATTAAAATGTTTATACGTAAAACACGAGATAAATCACGTGCCAATATTAAGAGAGAGAGGGAGAGACTTTGAAAAGAATTAAAACTAAATGAAAATATTGATAAAATAAGTAGTTTTATATATACTTAGAAGCGCAATTAATTAAAAAAAATAAAGAAACGAAATTAATAAAAGTTTTTATTAAAAAATATGCAAATATACGCCTTATTAACGAAAATGAATGAAAAGTTGAATTTTCTTTTTTGAATGCGTGTGTTAATCATCTTCAACATCAGCACGCGCGCAAACAGCACGCGTTGTTATAACAACCACATCCATCGTCTGAAGTTGGAGAAGCGGAAAATGAGTGAAGTTCCTGCAAAGGGTTGTTATAGCAACGAGGCAGTCTTATTAATTTCTCATGCTATGCGAGTATTGAATTTGCAATATGACACCTGCATAAGCAGATGAAGGACAGCGAAGATTCGAAATGTTTTACAGTCCTTAATTGTTTTTTTTTTCCTTTCCTTTTTCCTCCCTTTCCTCTTTATATATATATATATTACATAATATAATTGAGAAATTTCCTCGTGAATACTCTATCAAATATAAATTAATAATGTTAAGCAATTTAAATGCTGATTTTTAATATCTTTCAGCGCATTAATTTCACTTAAAGCTGACTAAACAGGTAAAAATTAAATTCGAAATTAATAAAAATAAATCTATCATACCGTTTTATATCCCAATAATAGTAATGGCTGTTGATTTTTATAGCACTGTTCTTCTGTGTAAAGCCTCATTATTAATGCTTTTGTTATAATCATTAACTAGAAAATACGATTTCATTCCACGTTGGATCCATACCAAACCACAAAAATATCATACGCCAGATCGGGATTATTCCAGACGAGTGAGAGAAGCAAATTGCGATGCCAGACTTTAATGCCATCAATTGTTGCTGGAAGATATAACGTCTGACGTCATCAAAGATGTCCTTCGATTGTGTCCTTTCCCACCTGTGTGACTCAAGGTTACACACCTGGACTCTCAGACGACAGGTTATAAAAGGGCAGGAAGTAAGATGAATAATCTAATTAAACGTTTTCGCCAGTAGAAAACGAAATTATAACTATTAAAATTAAGGTTTTTGACATTTTAAAAACGAAATCATCATCCGTGATTTATGTATCCACGTAGACCAGAAAAAGGAGGGAGAGGGGGAAGTGTCATTACGTCAGGACCAAAGAGGTGGAGTGGATCGCACGAATTTAATATCATCAACAGCATATTGTATATGTTATACATTTTACATTAAAATTTTTGGGATGAATCACTGAATGACTCACCAACAAGCTAAAGACGTAAAGGGCCATTAAAGTGATATTTGGCAATGAAAATCCCACGTGCAGTAAAGCCATTCATAGAGAGTAAAGAAATTTTATATTTTTTTATGGGAATTTTTACGGATTTAAACAGTTCACACAAATAAATTTTATTTTCCATCCCTCACATTTATTTTATTACTCGCTACTATTTTCTTTTTTCTACTGGTTGCAAGCTTATTATTCATAACTTTCACTTCTCACCATGTAAAAAAAAAGAAAAAAAATCTTAAAACTCAATTTAGAATTTTAAAATTGCTGCATATGAAAATATATAATGCCGATATGAAGTTATCATTGAGCTAAAAATAATCCTGTTTACTCTGAGAGTGAATTTATTTCGATGAACAGTAACTTCTTTTACGTAAATCTTCATCAGTATGATCTTGCATCAGAAGAGTCGAATAAAGGCAATATCTCCCACTCACTGAAAATCGAACCCAGGAGGAAAAAATAAAATAAAAAAAGATCAAGACTGTAAACAAAACTCTCAAAAGAACTTTCAAAAATCTGACAGAGTATAAACAAACAAATAATAGGAATTTAATAATCTTATATTAATATGAATAATATTATAAATTTTTCTACACGGTAATAAAGTAAGTGGCAAAAATCAGTCTTTTTTACAATTTAAGAAAAAAAAGACTAAGAGGAAATTTTGTAAAAAATCATGCTATTGGCATTGATGAAAACAATGATTTATATGTAAAAAAAAGTCAATAAAATTCAAAAAAATATTGAAATCAGTAGATAGAATCTGAGTATAATAAATTTTTTATATATTATTTTTTGCACTAGTTTTTATAATTTAAGATTCTGCGATTAAAAGAACCGCTTAAGAGACTTTTTTAAAGATGAAATTCACTTAAAAAGCGTTAAATTAAGAGTAATATAATAAAATAGAAACATTATCTTTAACAAACAGGATGAAAATTTTACACGCGTGATTAAGTTAGAAAATAAATTAACTTAGTAATTTTCTGTTTTAATATTATATTAATAATAAACAGTTTATCTTCACGTCGTGTTATTACTACTGGAGAAATTCTTTTTTTTTTCTCTTTCTTTCTTTCTTTCCTGCATTTATTAATCTATAAATGTATACGAAAGGAGAACGTAAAGTTAATCAATATGATCAAAAATATATAATTTATTTAAACACATAATTTATTCCTTATATAAAACCTGTCATTAATGTTTTTCCAGATCTTCAATATTTAAGATGAATAAGAAGCATGTATTGACAAACAGTACGTCTGACTAATGCACAACTTGATTGATCGGCTAAATTTGTACAATTATTCTGTCTTTCTTATAAAATTAATGTCTGTATATATTCAGCCGGACGAAGGAAAAATAAAAAGGTAAAAAAAAATAATAATAAGTTTTTGTTCGGTTTGTTTTCTCTTCCTCCCTCCCTCCATTTTTTTTTTGTTTATTATCGAAATGGCATCCATTAATAATTCTTAAAGTCAACATCGATCCTGTACAGATTTGTGATTGGACCGGAAATTAACTTGGAAGGAATGGTTTTAAACAAACGTTGTTGACACATACCCACCTAGCAAACATAACGATCGAATCAGAAGGACTTAATTATGGCAACTGTAAATTTAAATCTTCATTCCTTTGACGAATGTTCTCTTTTCTTATCCTTAGATTGAAAGAATCTCTTCCTTAAATTAAAAAAAAAAAAATATCTTATATATATATAGGCTATATATATATTTAAAATCTAACTTCTTATATTTGAAAACATCCCATGTATCGTATAAAACTTCACCCCGTGAGGCGTGTTTGGAGAACGCTTTGTAGTATATCAGACAATGGATATTGGAGGGACATTTTTGCTGATTTTTTAGAAATTTTAAGAATGCTTGACCATTCAAAAAATAATCTTAGTGAGTAAAGTCTCGAATGTAAGCAACTTTCACGAAGTTTTTTCTTTTTTTTTTTTTTTCTTCTTTTTTGAAGATATCTCGAGGACCCTTCGGGATAAACGCACGTGAGAAGTAAAAAGTTTCATATCCACAAAGATTTAAAGATAAGAAAATATTTTGGTCAGTAAATTTTTGAATTTATTTTTNTACACTTTGCCGGTTCTGTTATATATAACAGAGGGAAAGTATGGCGATCGGTCAAAAATGACCTCCCCCCCAATATTTTTACATTTTTGGACTTAGGACACCTTGAGGAAACATCGAGAAATGCAAAAAATTCGGGGGTTTTTCCTGTATGTATGGATGTTTGTGTGTGGGGCACGATTTTGTTTACCATCTTTGAAGCTTAATAACTCCTGCGTTTTTTGTCGAAAATTTCTGAAATTTTGCAGGTAGGTTTGTGTAATAGTGGGATTGATGCTATTAAATTTTGGCGGTTAAAGGTCGAGGGGTGGGGAAATACAGGGGATCGTGTGTCATACCTCGAGTAGTGTAGGACTTATTGACGATTTTACTCGTTAGCCTTTACAATTTTTTATAAAACCCAGCCCTACTCTAAGTTTTTTGCCATTTTATAACGAGTAAAAAATTTTATAACAGATGACACCACCAAAATTTTAAACGTTTCCGGGAAAGTTAAGCAACTCTTCGCTGAATTTCCATAATGACAAATTGAATTTTTTTAACTAAAAAACGAGATAAAATCTCAGAGTTTTACTACAGAATTAGTAAATTTAAAAAGTAGATAAATCATTTTAGAATAAGACACGAGAATGAGCGTGCCTCAAAATTTACGTGATTCAAAAATTTTGGTATCTTTGACGATCTTTCCCATTTGGAGGGTACTTAACGCCCTCGTTTCTCCCCATCTCCCTCTCGTAGTGTCGTATGTTGGAGACACTTTTGTCAATTAGGACGTCGCTTTTAATTTTATGAAGTCTTCCTTTTGTTTGAAGGCGTCGAGTAGAATAATTAAAAATACCAGCATGATGTCTCTAAGGGGAAGAAACTATCTCAAGTTTGCAAATCTCTATGTTTTTTGACATTTCGTAAGATTCTCGTTAATTTTTCAGAAAAAAAAAAATACATTTTTAACAAGAATCTCGTAATAGATTTAATGATTTATTAATACGAATATGACGACAACGAGGATCGAGGAGAGACGAGCAGACAACCTTACAGACAATTAAAATTAATACATATATAATTTTTCTCGATTGTAATTAATGTTAGAGATGTGTGTATGTATATATATATATATTCTGAATTTTTAAGGAAAAATTAAGAAAACGTGGTGAATTAATTTAATAATTTATTAATGTAAATATAAACGTTGACAATGACGATTGTGAAGAGACCGCAGACAGCCTGACAGACGGTTAAAATTAATACAGAAAAAAAATTTCAGTTTAGTAAGAAAAATACGGAATTTTTTAAAAGAAAATAATGTCATTAAGGCTTGAATTTTTTTACAGATCAAGTAAAGGCTTATTAATGCTTTCAAATAAAAAAAGTAATAATAATTCTTTAAATTTAAAACATTTTTATAAAATTATTCCTTTGAAAATGTCCACTTTTTCACCTGTTCAAATTAAACTTTACACCTTTATTTTTAAGTTTTTAATTAAAAATAATGCTTTTAAATTTTTTAAGAAGAAGAATTCTCATTGAACGTCTTAATAGAGTTAATATATATTTTTTGAAGGTTGTTACAGGATAGTCGGGTGGCAAACAATGTCATTAATTTACATTTTCTTACGGGTTATTTTTTTTAAATTAACAAAACAATTACTTTTCCCCCCTAAAATCTAAATTATATAGACGTGATGCAAAGACTTTGCAACTTAATTAGCCCACTAGAAGCAAGAATAGCGCTGGAAGATAATTTTTTTTTTTTTTTTAAATTAATCGTATAATTTCGTCTCGAAAATTCCTATTGGTTAATATGTAAACAGTATTGAGATTTAAATATATATTCTTACCTTTTCTCATTCGTTAAGAAATTTTTTAAAGGACGATCACGTGACTGTTTTAACGACGTTCGTGACATTTAAATTTTCGTGTCACATGCCTTGGTATCAGCCAATAGAATTCGATAAATTCGAACTGAGACGTGATTGCGTGACCTTTTCGTTAATCTTAAATTATTGATTTATTCAATAGAATGACCCATCACAAAGTTCGTAAGTTTTCAGAATCATACGATCACGTTTCAATTTAACTTTCAAAACGCTCTTATTGATTCGTAGTTAAGAGTGCCGCGTGATTATTGGTCACGTGACGCGCCCCGATTTAACGTTTCCCCACTCTCATTTCTGCCGTAACGTGATTATACAATTTGAAATTCGAAACGTAATGCGATCACATGACACTTTTTAAAAATTTTTTAAAAGATTTTTTTAAAAAAATTTGAAAATATTCGTTAATTCCATCACGTGATTTTACAATAAAAAAATTTGAATTTCAATTCCGTCACGTGGCAATTTTACTCGGTTTTATTGGACTAATCGAGTCGCGTAACACGCCATATTTAAAAACGTTCTCTCATTGGTTTCTGTAATCACGTGATTCGAAAATTCGAAATTTAAACGTCCACGTGGTAATTTTAAACACAATTTTTTAAATTTTAGATACGGGCTTCGTAAGGAAATACAAACTAAATTAATTATTTTTTTTTATTTTTTTCCCTCCTCTCATTTTAATTAGATCAATTAAGTATATATTTTAATGAGTTTAGAAAATTAACAAAGTAAAAAGAATAAACAATATTAAATAAATAATTTTTATGTAAAAAGGACGAAGAGAAGAAAATGAAAGATCAATAAAGTAAACACAACCTATACCCGAAAACCATTTTTGATTAATAATAGCTTTAAATAGCTTGCTACACGAATATTTTCCAGCATCTATCTATACTAATTGCTTATAAATGAAAACAAGTTACTGTCACAGACACAAAATTAATAGCGTGATGAAAGAGTTATTAATTTTTGTTAATAACTTTAAGGATAAACAATTTTCTTTCAATAATATTTTTAATTCTTCTCTACTATTAATTAAACTAGATATTCAAGAATGAAAAAATATTATATATATACATATATACACACACATCTTTTAACATTACTTGACCTTCTAAAAAAATGAGAGAAAATGTATATAAAATAATATTTTATATACAATTTTTTTAACATTAAGTAAAATCGAATGAGTGCTATTTAAGTGATTCTGTATCGAAAATTAATATATTAAAAGGAACCATTACCTTGTCATAACTAACCACACCCCTATTGTCTTGATATTATTTTAGATAATAAAGAAGATATTTATAGAAAGAAAAATTTCAGAAGAGAAGAAAAAAGAAAGTTGTACGCAGTTGAGAAATGTAATTTTATTTTATTGACTTTTAATCATTTTTTAAAATAGATAAGAAAATTAGATTTATAATATCGTTTCGTGTACTTAATAGATTATTTCTTTTTTTATATGTAATCCTAATAGATTTTTTTCTATGAATAATCTTTATAATTTTAATTAAATTGTTATTTATTTATCGAGTGAATTCGATTTTTCCAACCGGTGGCTCGCGATCTATTAAACTTTTAAGATCTTTTAACGGCTCTCTCAGAGATCGAAAGAGGTCCTATAACTTAAATTTGAGGTCCCTGTATGTAAATACATTGCTTTTCATAATATAACAGAAATTCAACGGAATAATAATTTATTAAAACTGTTTTTTTTGTTTTTTTTTGAGGCTCTAGCTAAATGGTCTTACTGTCCTCCCTGTGTTAAATTCTGTCTTCTATAGAAGCGAGTAGTTTGTATCTATCTATGCTTAAATATTTATTGTCAATATTTGAAATTCTATACATTTTCGCTATCTTCATTAAAAGATTAACTCTTTTTTTTATCAATATACGAGTATTTTAATTTACTTTCTTTTATGCATAAGGTTCTTGTATTTACTTTTCTTTTTAAGAACAAACGAAGAAAATCAACACAATTTTTCTCTTTTAGAAATCCATAAATCTGTATCTTTCTTTCTCTTTTTTCTTATATAAATATTCAATATTTTTGTTACTTCATATATAAATTAAATATACTTTTTTTTTTTAAATTTCTTTCCTATTTTTCATGCAAGCGTATCTGTAAACACGATAATATCTCACTTAGCTGGCTTTTTATGGCAAAGACAATCTACACTTATACTTTTTGATTACTGTAAATTCAATTAGTTGCTCCCTTCACGCATTCTTTCTTATCTCCTTTATTTTCTAATTAATTAATCCTAATAATAAAACAAAGATATCATCCCTGCAACTATTTCAAAATTAAAAATCTTGCAAATCTCCCAGGCAAAATACGATAACAAGACTGCGATTCTTCTTCTATTTTCTCGAATTTTCTCAAGGGAACCAATTATGTTAGCTTTCTACACTCTCTGGCTTCTCTTTCAACAATAGATTATAAACTTCTTCTTTTTTTATTATTATTATTATTTCTGTTTCATTCTTCTTATTTTCTTCTTTATTTCATTTTCTAAATTTTTTTTTCTTTTTAAATTATTTCCAACATTGTTGTAATCATTTCCAATTCATTTATTATTTAATTTTTTTTTCTTCTTTTGTTTTTAATTCATAAATTTCAAATATTGTTACGTAAAGTTTGACTTTTTATTTCTTATTTGTCTATTTTTTATTCATACGTTTCATGCATTGTTGCGTAAATTTTAATTCGTCCATTTCACACATTGTTACGTAAGCTTTCATTCACAATTTTTTAAAATCCATTTCACTTGCCGTATTTTTTTTTTCTTTTTAATTCATAAATTTCTTCTTGTCTATTTCGCATTTTCTTTTCAAGAGAATTTGAAAACGATCAAAAATGTCATTTTCATCCGTACATAAATCAAAACTTTCTTTATAATATTTATATTTCTCTTCAAATCCGATTGCCCGTGAACTTGAAAACGATTTTTTAATGAAAAACTTAGGGAAGATTTTACTCTCCTTCAACTTTTTTATTATATATTAAATCCAAAATTCTCTCTTAAAGGTTTAAATGTATATATACTTTTTAATTCATAAACGATTCTGTTAATGAATAATTCAATATCAAACAGTTGTACACGTTAATAACAGATGGCGTGAGGTATAATATAGAAGAGAATAATGTATAAAAACCTGAAAAAATTCAAGCATGATACGTAATTTATAAGTGGAATCTCTTAAATATTACTTGAACCAATTCGAAATTCTTTAAGATATAAACAAAGATAACATTTTTTTAAGTCTCTGAAGGAAACTAAAGTACTATTTTCTTCTTTTTTTTTTCTGATTATGATTCTGGACGACAGATTTGGTGGAGCGTATACTTCAATGAAGTGGGGCTTTGTAATAATTGAGTGGAATACTATTAAACGCTAAAAATAGATCTAACTGCAGACGTAATGTATGGCCATTCTGACGAAAGCTTCCAGGAAAATTACGAGGAGTTAGAATAAAGTAAAATATTGTCTATCAAGTCTAGAAATCTCTGTTTATTTATAAACCGCGCCGTTTATTCTCCAAACATTCGTTTGAAAACTTAATATTTAACATGACCAAAAATATTAGTGAAGGGGGGAAACTCTAGATTAATCTAGGATATGATGCCTCCTGTCACATCACGTCTCGTCTCATTGCTTTTGATATTAAAAATTCCTCACTGGAAGATGAGATTTAAAAACTATCCTTATAAGTCAGCATGCTGTCTTTATTATTTCCATTTTTTTTATTATTATTATTTTCTGCTTCTTATCATGAAATTACTTATTTTACTTCTTGAAAATGTTCTAGAAAAATTTTTATTAAGCCAAATAATAAGTTTAAAACTTATCATTTAAGCCTGGAGGCCAGATAGGAGCTTATATTGTACGTCTGGCTTATCCTTGATATTCAAGATCTAAACATGGAGGGTACCTTTTATAAGTCGAACCCGAGGGCTTTATGCATTGAAATGTAGAGTCTCTTTAGACGAGTGACGATTTTAAGATGTCTAAAAAGGCTTTAAATATCATAAGCAAAAGATATTTTAGGATAAGGGTCGATACTTTCAAAGGGTGTTGTATGATGAAACTGTGTGATTGAAACCGATATTAACTAAAAAACCCTCAATCCCTATTTACCATAATTATCTATTTATGACTTTTGGGATACTCTAGAACATCTCCATAACGTTACTGGTAAGACGACGATGCTTAAAATTCTCTCGACAGACTTTAAAAAGTACCACTTCAATTAAGAACTGATAAAAGGAATTCGCTTTTTCTAATCAATCTGAGAAAATTTCATATTATAAAAGTACTTTTTTTTAAAGAAAAATCTATTTTAGATTTATTCAAAGATAGTTCTGTTGCATCTTTTTTGTCATATATATAAAAAAACCAAATTTCAAAAGGGAGAAGAAAGTTAAAGTGGCAATCGAGACTACACATGTCGACAAGAATACATTGAAAATGGTTATTTAATACTCCCATTTTAAAAAATGGCATCACTTAAGGAAGGATATCCATTTTCCTTCTATACAAAAAAAAAAAAAAAAATCCATTCTTAAAAATATTCTTTAGAATTAATTTCGTGAAAGTAGCAACGGAATTTCTTTTGATATTCTCCCTCTTTCTGACTTTTCCAATGCTACTTTTACAGCAACAAGTGCTCGAGGTCACGCTTAAATGAACTTTCTCCACTCTAAACCACCGCGACTTTTAAGTATCTAAGTATTAATTATTTTTTAAAAAATATATATACAGTACATACATAAATTATTACTACAGTAGCATCACACGCTAAAAACTCGTAGGAAGTTGCAGGATAGAAAGAGAGTAAGAAAAGTTTGTAGGAGGGTGGAGAAGCGCAAGAGGAAGATGATGAGTTTAAAAAGCCAGTACTTACCCATTGCCTAGATGATGATATTACATCATTCGCCGTTGCCTCCTTTCCCAGTAAGGGAGAACCCGTCATCAAGCTGTTACCAGCACCGCTGACGGCAGTAGCTTTGTTGTCTGTCGTTTCTGCAGTGTCAGATGTGTGCCACGGCTGGCGCTGCTGCTCCAACTGTCGACTGATCAAGTCGTGGAATGAAGAAGGTTGCTGGCGCTGTAGTTGTTGGGCGTAGGCCATACGAAAAGCACTACCCACCAATGTACTTAGTTCTTCAGCCTATAACGATACACGTGTTGAGTTGCTCAACTACTTCCTGTTCTTTCTACTTAATTTAAATTAAGTCGAATCTTAATTACAACTCTAATTTTTCCTATATATATATATATATATATATACACACACACACACACACACATATATTTTTTTTTCTTTTATAACTTGTTTAGGTGATGCAAGGGGGGTAAAATATAGCTCGTGCCTGCTTTAATATAAACTGTTTTCTTCTTGGAAACGTGTTCAATTTCCGCTGATGTGTTTATTGTCTTAGTAAACTGTTTATTTTTAAGGTTGAGTAAGTTCGACTTCCAGAAGAAGAGTCTGGGTTGATAGGGGTGTTTGTTGGATAACTTCTTCGAGAGCGTGCCCGAAAGCTGTTTTTTTTTTCTAAGCTAGAAAATGTGGTTAAGAGTGTAACAAAACATGTAAAACGTAAATCTGGATAAAATTAGCTTAGGGAAAGTTACATTTAAGTGTATTCTATGGGAATTCCTTCAGTGGAAATTGAGTAAAATATGTAATTAACAGCGATCTAGATGGGAAATTTAGAGTAAAATTTATCGAAACAATTTATAATTAACTGAATTATGTTTACTGTGGGGCATTCTTATTAAAATAAATAAATAAAATTACTACTAAAGGAGGTAAGAGCAATATAACTTGGCTCTCTATTTTATCAAAAATGTAACATTTTCTTTAAAAATTCTCTTCGTGAGTAGGCTTATTTTATCAAAAAACATCGCAAAAAAACACATTTATCTGCTCAACTTAAAAAAACCACAGAATAAAACAAAACTTTAAATTTAAATAATCAGTGTGAGAAGATACTTATCAGCTACATATGTTAATCAGTAGAAAAGATGTGTCTTAATTATCTAAAGCTTATATATAGACTCAGAAACGTATTGTTATATATTATAAAATGCGATTAATAAATTAAAATATATGGATACAAGAATCTTAAAAAAAGCAGCTGAAAAATTTCTACTAGTTTCAGCAAAGAATGCGCTACTATAAATAATTAATAATACACATACTCGACCCAAAAAATCGATATTTCTAATCAACCTCTAACCATTCATACAGCAGTAAAAACTCATAAAATTATACGTCTCGCACTATATTGTTTATGAAAATTAATATAAAAGTGTACGGATTTAGATGGGTTTCGTTTTGAAATGTGGACGGATAGACACGCAGACGAACATAAGAGAGTAAAGTTTAATGATCGTAAGAAACATCATTTAAGACAATCGCGTGATATTGTCTACTTAGTGGGCCTTGGAAGGAGGAAAAGACACTTTCTTTCCCTTTCGAACCATGTCATAGGCATTGATGTTTATCGTTGTGTTACCATAGCAATAACTATTTTTTCGTCACTTTCTAACCTCTTTTTTTTACAACTCGGCATTATTTTCTAAGCAAGAACAGCGAATAAAAATACCTAAAAGTGGTTTAATTTAGCCTTTGATACTTATTACTACAATAGTACCCCTGATAATATCTTGCTGTTTCTTACAATAGCGTAACACGTAATTGGAAATTGTGAGCTCAAATCCTCATTTCTAGACGATTTTTTCGGTAATTTGTACATTTTAAATCGGTTCTAATTTAATACCACAGTAGCACATTTTTCAGAAGTGAGAACATTCTCATCCCATATTCCCTTCGTGCCATCTACCGAATGAAAGTGGAAACAAATTACAATTTACGCTAATTCGAAGCGATTTTTCGCGAAATGGTCCAACTCTCTTGCTTAATTATCCTTTCTTCCATCGTACTCTAAAGGATAAACGGCGCAGACTTGTCACTTCATTCTCGTTTGCTGAGTCTGAATTGTACTAGTAGCTTTGTATGTAATTCGGTTGTGAAAACCAAATGGTAATTTATTCTTTTTGTAATAAAAATTCATCAAATTAACTCTAAAGAATCGTGCGTGTCCTCTATTCTCAAAAATTATATAAGAAAGATCATGGACTAACTTTTAAGACAAATGAAAAATCAGGTTTAAAAAAATCTCTATTTTAAGGTTATAAAAGTAAAATTTGCTTTATAAGAGTTAAAGTTTTGTAGAATATTCAAAATTCTCGATTTTTCTATCTATTTTTTAACCTTAAAAATCATCAAAAATAAGAATTTACAAGACAAGGCAAAAAAAATAAATAAATAAAATGGTAATTTCTTAATCTTCATACACAATTTTGATAAAATTACGTTTTTTTAAATATATATATTTTTTAATCAGCTAAATGCTAGATATTACACTTTTTCTTAATCTTTAACCATTTACAAAAACTATAAAATAGAATATATATATTTATTTATTTAAAAGATAAATTACAATTTTAAAATTAAAAAAAAACTAAAATAAAATGTAATTTTAAGTTCAGTAAAAAAAGGTGGAAATTTCCTTTTATAAAATTGCCAAATTTCATCTCGTTTCTTTGATTTATCGATTGGGATGAAGGCAGTCACGTGAATGCTTAATTCTCAGTTAGGAAAGGTGGCACAGTATCGTCTTTTCCCGTTTATTGTAGATGCTGCTGTCTTATCTATCAAAGAATCTGTCGAAAGCATCATATGGCCCTTCTATTAGTATCTCAAGTTATGGGTTAAGTTCAATTTCAATTTTTTCCTGTCACTTTTTATATTTTTTTTACACCCCTCTGACACACTTATACTGTATAAAACTTTTCTCTTATATCATACGACACTTTATATATTTTTAAACTATTATTTTACAGAATTTTCTGTACAAATTAGCAATAGAATCCATTTAATATATTGAAAATTCTGTTCTGTGATTAGTAAAATGCATCCAAAAAAAATATATTTTTTTTAATTTCAAAATCTCAAAGTTAACTTCTATGCTCTCTTGCTCATAGGAAGGAAAGAACAGAAGGGAAAAAATCTTATAATGCAATTAAGATGAGAGCAACCGCACAAGTATGCAATTAGCTGATAATTCGATATAGCAGCTTTGTTTTACGCACGTTTGCAGAGGTCATTGCTCCCTTCTATCCCAAATCAAAACCTTAAATACGGATGTTGATATCTATTTTTCTAATTAGAAAAAAAAGGAAAGAATTTTCGAATTTAAAACTGTGTTAGTAACTCCATTAAAACGTAGGAATTCCTTCCAGTATGAAATCTTTATAGCTTCCTCAGCTCAATAGATGCCAAAACAGTGTAGCAATGTGCAACCTTTCTAAATGAATGACTCCTCGCACAGAAACTTAATCGATTTAACTTAGGATGGTTTTGATCATTCGACTTCTATCCGACTAAATCTCTTAAAATACTGAAAATTCTCTTCGAAACTGGAGAATTCTTTTAGAAATTTAATGTATATATATATAAAACTTTATTTAATGTCCATCATTATTACACTCAATAAAAGCTTAACTACTTCATGAAAAGTCCAATCAGAGATCAATCTTTCCCAAAAAAGTCGAAAAAATTGACCGTAAAATCCTCAAAAATACGCCAAAATAACGAGATTTAAAAAGGATAAACTTACTTTCTTTAACTAAATTTGCTCATTATTTAAAATGAATTCCTACGTAATCTTCAAAAATTTATATTGTTTTGGGAATAATTTATATGAATAAAACAAGATTAAAAGCGGCTAAATTAAGGAATAAAATTGTTAAATTTTACTCCTTTAATATAAAAATGATGGCATAAAATGCTTACAAATTATATTTTTAAATTTACATAAAAAACTCGCCTTATGATAAGTTTCATGCGTTAACAAGTTTGCATGTTAGCTTATTAAAGCTAATTCTGGAAGTGCTAATAGGTTATAATAGTTTATGACATGTTCTAATTGATGACGTAACGTACACAATGCTATTTCCATGACGTCCTTCCCGAAAATTCCCAAGAGTGCAATAAAATCATTGAAAGTTTTCCTTCACGCCTGTAAAGTTGTCTCTCCCTTCACGCAACGGAACTATGCAGTGAAGCACAGGGGAAAATATTTTGCACTACGTTTATTATTATTACAACTATAAATTTGATTATATTATAGATTTTGCTTCATTATCAGATGGTTAACTATCAATTAAATGTTATCTAAATCTTCCTGAATATCAGTGATAATCAAAATTGGTCTCAGTATGACGAATATTAAAAATTTCAGATAAAAAAACAGCTTTTACATCTAATTTTAAATGTTAAATATATGAAAATTTGTCCTCTATTAAAGCTTGAAATCGTGAAATTTATGAGTTAATTTTTAAGAAATTTATCTAAAATAATCTCAGTAATTTCTCTATAAACGTGCTTTCGAGCGTAAATATATTCAAAACATTTTCTTAAAACAGAACTTTTAAAACAAGATATTAAAGTTTTAGAAAGTGGAGCATTTTATCCTCTTCATCACATCGAAAGTACTTAACAAAAATTTGCATATCTTCTCTAAATTAGCTTAAAATTCTTTTAAAATTATCCTATAAAAGAGAGGAAGGAGGGGAAAAAAGCGTATAAATATAGCAAAAATTCGATTCTGGAATGACTCTTTTTACTCCGGGAACAAGTCCTGAATTGTTATTCACTTAAAGCCTAAAACATCTTTATAATAGGCTGAGAATAACTAAATTTGATCATCACCTGTATCATTCAACATCACTGTAATTACTCCACGGTGATGCCTCGTAACATTTTTAGAATTTTAAAACCGTTAATCAGCAAGAAGATAAAGGAGTAATAAAGAAAAGTGAAGGAAAAAAAAGAGGAGGCTGCATACAGAGTAAGAGGAATGTCAGCAGGAGACATTTGCCAATAAAAGTAACAGCACAAAAGCAATCACACCAAACCAGAAGGTGGGTGTTGTGGTAGAAGTTACAGAATCAATCGCAAACCTTCCCAAGACGCAATGCAACGATAGCAACTCTTATCAACTGCCTATGGAAAGTAGTCATCCATCACTAGATTGGACGGTGAGGTTAAATAGCTTCCACACACACAAGACAATTTCTGATACTGCACAAACAGTA